GGGAAGGGAAAAGGCAGGGAAGAGAGGAAGGGGAAAGGCAGGGAAGGGAGGAAGGGGAAAGGCAGGGAAGGGGGGAAGGGAAAGTCAGGGAAAGGGGGAAGGGGAAAGGCAGGGAAGGGGGGGAAGGGGAAAGGCAGGGAAGGGGCACCACAGGAGCTCACAGGACGAGCCTCAGGACATCAAGTCCCCTGCTGTGATCGCTGTGAGCTCACCCTGTGGCCAGAGGCAGGTGGCTGCACCTCTCAGAATCAAGAGGGCTCAGCGAAACCAGGAATACCAGCCCAGGTCCTGGCATACAGTAAGTGCTTACTAATTGTGAGCCATTACTTGTTGTTAGGTACCACTGAGTCAACTACGATTCACAGTGACCCTGTGAATAACAGATGTGAACTCTGTCCTAGCACGTGACACCTTTACTGTCCCTGAGAAGCGGGAGCCCACTGTTACAGTCGCTGTCTCAATCCATCTCATTGAGGGTCTTCCTCTCTTTTTCTGACCCTCTCCAACTTTCCCTGTATGATGTCTTTTTTCCAAGGACTGGCTTCTCCGGAAAACATGTCCAAAGAACGTGAGACGAAGTTTGCCCATCCTTGCCTCTCAGCCGTTACTACACAAGAAAAAGCGCAGTGCAACTGAAGTGTCTGTCAACAAATGGATGGATAGAGAATCTGTGGTACAGTCACACAATGGGATATTATGCCGCACTGAAAAACAGTGAACTCGTAAAACATTACACAACGTGGGGGAGCCTGGAGGACAGTATGCTGAGTGAAATAGCTTAGTCACAAAAGGACAAATACTGCATAATACCACTTTTTTTTATGAACTAGGACTACCACGGTGGCTGGGAGGTAAGGAAAAGAGTGGACTGATAACACTTCCTTGGAACAGATGGGGGCAAGAATGGTCTGAAAGAAATATATGATTATTTTATGTATGACAACAATCTGGACTGAGAAGCATTGCAAAGTGGACTGGGCAACAGGGCAGGGCGGGAGAGGGAAGAAAATGTGTAAAAAGGAAAGGTGTGACAAATGCTTAACAGCCAAACTGCCTAGGTTTTAAAAGGCAGCTCTGTCAGTTCTTCAGGTGTGTAAACAGGGGCAAGTCACATGAGCTCTCTGTGTCCTCAGCTGTAAAATGGGCACAATTCCCATTTTAAGGAGGATCTAATGAGTTAATACACGCACATTTAAAGTGCTGAGGAACCGGCAGCAAATGCCTGATAAATGCCAGTGACTCCTGGTTCTATTTCCTCGCCTTCCCCTCCCCCCCATTCCGTGGCGCAGTGCCAGCCTCCTTGAGACACCGCGCTGGATGAAGTCATGCAAGTGCCACCTTCCCGGGTCCCCAGGCTCCTGCTCCACCCCAGTTCTCCAGGTGCCTCAGAACAAAATGAGGTGCAAGTGGGCAGGGAGGGGAGCGCCTGGTTGTAGGCACACGGTTCTGGAAGAGGATGCGAGAGGGGCTGGAGCTGAGATGACAAAAGCAGTTCTTCTAAGAGATCGCACCTCCCCATCCCCAGTCACCCCCCCAGCAGACTCGCCCATAAACAAAAGCAGCCCATTGTGTATAAACACACAGGCTCAACACTCCACCCACACGCACAGACTGAAGAGCCTCCCCCACCCGGCCCCACCCACCCAGGCCGGCATCCCGGCTCCCTCCCCCCACCTGGTGTCTCTGCAGATTCTCCCTGGCAGGCCCTGCCCCCCCCATAATTACAGAGAGCCCAGGCTCCCTGCCCAGCATGACGTCACCCTGAAGCTTCAGTCTCAGTGAGCTCACCCCCCCCAAGGTGGGGGCTAGTCACTCCAAGGGGCGTGGGGTGTCCACCCACTCCCCCACCTCTAGATAGGGAAGGCGGGGTGGCCACAGACCTGAGATCCGGAACCACCCAGCCTCCCCCAACCCCACATTCTGCCCTAGCCCCCACTGTGGTGTTTCGGGGCCACTGAACCAAGTGTGTAGCTAGGAACAATTCATGTGACCTCCCTGGAGGACAGGGACACGTCTTATCCTCACAGGGTTATGGGGAGGACAGCATGAGCTAATACATTGGCCTCGGTTTCCTGGTCTGTAGAATGGGATGGTGAGTGACCTCTGCAGGACAGGTGTGACAGTGGAGTCCCCCAGTGGAGCAGGACAGGTGTGACAGTGGAGTTCCCCGGTGGCGCAAACAGCCTCTCAGAACCAAAGAACGTAACCCACTCCCAGCCCCGGGTGACGCGTTCCGACACGACGGCCCAGTGAGCGTCCAAGTCTGTAGATCGTTATGGTCTTCGTCGCCATGGAGGCGCCACTGGGCTCCTCCCCTGGCCAATCTTCTAGACCTTCTCAATCAGTGGTCAAACAGCTGGGTGCTTTACCCACTGTGCCACCCCAGGGTGCCTTCAGAGCACAGTTTCCCGCTGACACACCCAGGGTTGTCAGCCCGGGGTTGGTGACTGGTGGTTGTGAATACTTGTCTGTACCACACGCAGCTGCCCAGGAGAAGTGGCAGCAGATGAGGTTGACGGCGGGTGCTCGCCGCGCTATTATTTTTAGCAAACCGTTTCATGTGTTGCAGCTTCACATCCACACCGATTGCTCAGCCCATGACTCATGGCATTCCTCAGTGCCCCAGCCGAGCCCCAGCACGTGGCGGCCGCAGACCCGTGGACCCTGGGGCCCCAGGAGGGAAGGGGTGTTCCCAAGGTTGGGGACACAGCGTAGACCTGAACCCACGTCAGAGACGCCTTTTGGGCAATCTGTACAGTCCTCCTCCATCAATCCATCCCACTGTCCCCACTGTCGAGGGAGCAGGAAAGAATTCTAGAAAACCGGTTTGCTCTAAACTTCTGCGTTTCAGAGCAGACGCCTGTCAAACTCTGCATCTTCTGATAATTGTTGGATTCGGCCTGTGCCATCACCTCCTGCACCATCATCTGCTGTCCGAGTCTACTGTTGCGGACACTGTGTCACCCCGCCCCACGGGAGGTCGTCTTTATCACTGACCCTTCGCCAAGGAACGCTGTCCTTCTCCAGGGACTGGACCTGCCTGAGAGCCCAAGTCTCACCATCTTCGCTAAAAAAGGGGCCTCCTGCCTGTCCCTTATCCAAGACAGGCTTGTTCACTGTTCTAGATGTTCACCAACATCGTAATTCAAAATCATTACTAATTCTTTCTTCTTCCTTAGTTGTTACTCAGTTTTCACACGTGTATGAGGCAACTGAAAACACCTTGGCTTGGGTCAAGTGCACCTGAGTCCTCAAAATGACATCTTTGCTTTCTAACACTTTAAAGAGGTCTTTAGACACAGGTTTGCCCAATACGATAATGTCTTCAGACAGCTATTATTGATAATATTCGCAGTCATAATAGAAGCTACCGCTGGCAAACACTGTTCATTACAGTTTCTCTGGATCCACAAAATGAGTATGAGGAGGCTAGGATTTTGAAGCTCCATCTCACATAATTTGGGCACGTGGCCAGGAGAGACTGGTCCTTGGAGAAGGACATCATGCTCAGAAGGGTGGAGGGACAGCACAGGAGAGGAAGACCCTGGATGAGATGGACTGACACAGTAACTGGGCGATGGGAGTTGGTGTGTTGGAATTAGTGAGACTGGCTCAGGACAGGGCAGGCTTCAGAGCTGCTGTACACAGGGTTGCTATGGTCACAGGCAACTTGACGGCACATAACAACAACAGTCATACCCTTCCTAGGTTGCTCTGTCACTCTGTCATCTCACTGTGGTGGCCTGTACCATGTTGCTGTGATACTTGAAGTCATGCTACTAAATTCCAAATCCCAGCAGGATCACTCCTGGTGGGCAGGTGTTAGAATTTACAGACTAAGACTAGGAAGAAAGGCCTGCCGATCTACATCTGAAGATGAACCGATGACAAATGCTCTGGATAGCAACAGAATATTGTCCAGTGTCGTTCTGGAAGAGAAGTGGGTGGCCTTGAGATAGAGCTGACTTAACAATAACTGGGTTTTGTATCTGTCAGTCTTTGCAAAGCACAGCCTTTAGCGAGAATGACGTAACTGATAATCCAAAATTAAAAATATAAACATGAAATCAGTCTGCATGACTTCTTCATGACACATGCATGAGGCAGCTACCAGGATTATGTACATTTTACAGACGGAAAAACCAAGCTCTCTCAGGGCCACCTGGGAGTCATACTACAGCCCTAGCAGGACACTGAGGCTCCGTGGGTGAACAAAGAGCCTGGGGTCCAGGTGGGGTTCAGGGCCACCTGTCCTCAAGACCACAGGGCTCCCAGTGTCTTTACTCTTTCCTCAGGTCCCCCCTGAAGGGGCAGGGGGGAGGCAGGGTGCGCCATGCTCTCTGGAAGGTATTTCCAGAGGGTGATCTGAGCCCTCAGCCAGGCGGGAGGGTTATTAATAGCCAGGGCTTAGGCCTGACTTCCAGGAGGGCGTGCTTTGTAGGGAGCGAGGGCGGAGCTGGGATCTGTGGGGGAGGAGAGACTGCCACCGCCCCTCCCCGCCCTCCCAGCCCCCCAGCCCAGCTGTTCCCAGGCGGACGGATTCTCAGGGGCTGGTTCATCACCTCCGAATACTCCAGTGACAGGAGGGGCCTGCAGAAACCCGCCTCCAGTCGCGGATAAATAGGAACCACCCAGGCCAAGAGAAGCGAGGAGAAGTTTCTAGGCAAGTCCTCGGGTTTATTAAGCTCTTGCTTCGCTCCAGACATCAGAAGCTCCTGGCTCTGAGCCCTGGGCAGCCAGAGGGCGCTGGGTGGCTTGCTGGTTTCTGGTGAGGCCATTAGCAAAGGCCCCCCCACTCTGGGATTCTGTGGGACCAGTGCTGTTACCTCGGGTCCTGGGACCCCAGCTGGGTGGGTGCCCCCACCTGTGGATGGTTCAGCAAGATCAACATTTCTGTGGCTGAAGACGACGTGTTGAATTGAGGCCCACCACCACCACCACCTTCTGCGTGACCTTGCCACTGGCTCGCTCCCTCTGAGCCTCAGTTTCCCCTCCTCACCATGGCTGATGGTCAGATGCCCTTCCCCTGCCACTACCCTGGCCGCATCCGCAGAGACCCTTTCCGGGACTCGCCCCTGTCCTCTCGCCTGCTGGACGATGGCTTCGGCATGGACCCCTTCCCCGACGACTTGACAGCTGCGTGGCCCGACTGGGCCCTGCCCCGGCTCTCCTCTGCCTGGCCGGGGACCCTCAGGTCTGGCCTGGTGCCACGGGGGCCGACGGCCCCTTCCAGATTTGGAGTGCCCTCCGAAGGCAGGAGCCCCCCACCTTTCCCCGGGGAGCCCTGGAAAGTGTGTGTTAATGTGCACAGCTTCAAGCCAGAGGAGCTGATGGTCAAGACCAAGGATGGCTACGTGGAGGTGTCCGGTGAGTGGGGGCGGGGGAGAGGGACCAAGAAGCGAGGCTAATAGGGGGCTATTGGCCTCACTCCCCAAACAGCAGAGTTTCCTCAGCTGGGGAAGCTGAGACACCGGGCCACAGGTGACCTCAGGGCTCAGGAATGCCACCCGCTGAGTTATCTTATGGAAAAGCTCTCCTTCCCTGCTCTGGGGGGCAGGGGACACGAACCTGTCCCATCCCTGAGGGTCTCACTCAGGACAAGTGGGGAGACAAAACCCATGTCAGCTGTGGCCACAGCGAGGGTCTGGATGTCTTTTAGTTGCTAGATGGTTACTGATTTTTTCTGTAGACTTTCAATCAAAGGACAATAACAAATTAAAAAAAAAACAACCAACAACAACAAAAAGTTGGGGGAGCAGGTTGATGAGCTGTGGAAGACAAGGCAGAGAAGGAGTGGGGTTCATAGCAGCCCAACAGAACAAAGTGGGAGCTCAGGGGGCCAGTTTGGAGCTGAGGCTACCACTGACCCCGCTCTCCGTGTCACAGACACATACACGGAGGCTTACCCTGGTGACAGTGCTTCCTATCAGGGCGCCACCAGTCTGAGCCCCCGCAGCTCTAACAACCAGTCAATGTGACAATTCTCAGAGCTCCGTCCTGCTGGTCTCTGTTGCTGAGGAAACTGAGGCACAGAGCTGTTAAGGTCACCGGCCCAAGGGTACCTAGCATGTCTGTGAACTTGGGGCTGGAGAGGACGGAGATTTAGTAATTTAGCTGGGCGAAATGCTTCTGTGACTTATTCCTCAAGGGCCCTCACTCCAGCCCAGAGAAGCGAGGCCTGGATGTCGAGCCCATTTTGCAGCTGAGGCGGCTGAGGCCTGGGCGCACTATGTGTCCAAGGTCACGCCCGTGAGTCAGCAGCAGGAGAAGCAGGGCCCACAGCCTGTGCAGTCAGCCTGGGAGAGAGAAATCTCTGGGGACAGCCGAGAGGAGGTGCAGGCTCCAGACAGCAGCATGGAAAGCTTTCCTTTGCTTCCTATCCAATTAACGCTCCATTAGAAAGAGCATGTTCCCGGCAGAGGCCCACCAGCCAGGAAATCAATACAGGCCCTGGCAGACACAGGCCGGGCAGGGACAAGCCCGGGGCGTGTGGGGCGTTTCAAAGGCAACAGGCAGAATCATAAACATCAGAGGTGCCTCTGTGAGCGTGGTGGGGCTCCCTGAAGCTGGCTGGGAGCTAAGCATGACATCCAATGCAGCCCTGTCACCAGCCACTTCCCAGGGCCTCAGTGGTTACCTGGAAAGTGGTTCAAAAGGACTGTGCCTCATAAAGGTTATTGTGTCAAGCAAGAGAAATACCCGCCCAGCACGCTGGCACCTGAGTCTGCACTATTCCAGAGTCTGTGGTTATGAAAGTGCCGTGTGCAGAGAACAGCCTAGTAAATAATACATGCTGGATGCTGGGTGGAGAGCTGTGTTCCAATCCTGGCTTACTCTGCTCACCAAGCTGGATGGATATAGACGAGGAAGGCCCTTCATCTACTCTGAGTCTGTTTTCTCAGCTGTAGAATGGGGACCGTAATACCAACTATCTTGCAAGGCTAATAATGGTGCACGGAGTCAACCTATGATAATATATGCAGACTGTAAAGTGGAGCTAAAACCCCTGTAATCAGAGTTCCAGAGGTTTCCAGCCCAGGGCTCAGGGTCTCCATGCTCCATGGGCTCTTGGGGCGATCCTCTGTTTAGACTTCCCTCCATCCTGTGCAGGTGCTGCTGGATAGATAGGGTCTGGTGACCACAGACCAAGAGGGCAGCTTTGGGCGAGTCAGACAGCTTGGATTTCTACATCTCTACAATGTGGAAGCTAAGGACTTATATAGGGCAAAGCTCTTTTAGGCTGTAAAATGCCTCTCAGATACACATTCAGCAACCCCAGCTTGAGAGAACCTTGACCCCCCCAAGTGTACACTCCTGGAGTTTAAAGTCACATCCGAGGGCTTTCAAGGAGAATGGCCTCCCATCCTACCACGCCACGACACGTCTGTTTTTCAGCAAGTACTGAGCCAGGCACTGTGATCAAGGCCCACAAATGTTCGCCCACTCAGTCCTTAACAAGGACACATCGGTACTACTTACTGCTATTCCCATTTTACAGATGGGGAAACAGAGGCCCAGAGGAAATATCTCACCTGAGTTTACTCACTCCCCTAGGTCACTATCTGAGATTCAACACTGAGATTCCTGATAGAATCAAGCTAGCTGGGCCTCTCTCTCTTGAGTGGACTTCAGTGCCACCATTAATCAGACAGGGAAGTAAGACGTGACCAATACCGGCCACACCACATGCAGCCAAGTGTTACTAGAGAAATGAGAAGTGCGAAAGGGGAGGAAGCTGTGTTCCCAGCCCCGGCCTCAGCCACCTCACCTGTACCTAGAGTTTTGGAAAGGGCCAGAAGAAGCAAATCTATGCTCATGTCGCCTCACTGCAGGACTTCTCAGAGCCTTCGATTTGCTGAGGTCGTTTATGACTCTCCGAGAGGTGGTTCCATCTTATCTGAGCACAAAGGAACGCCTGGTTCCAGTCGAGTGTTTGGAAAATGCCAGACTCCATCATGTCCACCTCGCCTCACCCTGCCCCCTCGGCAGTCACAGGGCCAACAAATGTTCCTTTCGTGACCCACTGGGCCCGGCCCAGGAAGGTACTGGAAAGCCCCGAGGCCTCTTTCTCGCCCCTTCTCCTTAATCCCCAGGCCTCTGCCTCCCCAGCACAGCACCTTCATTCTTTGGCCTGTCGGGCCTGGCCCACAGCTCTCCCCAGACCCTGACACCTGCCCTCGGTCAGGCAGCTCTGTCTGAGGGAGGCCGAGAAGATGGAGGCCGCAGAGGGCCCTGGCTTCCCCTGGCTCCCAGATAATGACTTCACTAAGAAAATAATTATTCATTTCTGTTTATAAAGTATTTCTGTGGTGGAAAAATGCAGACAACAAGATGACATTAAAAATCACTCATAATCTTGAACTTCTTGCCTATTTGCTGGGATACCATCTCACAGCCAGCCCGTGGGACAGAGTGGAGCTGCCCATGTGTCCAAGACTGTAAATCTTTACAGCAGCCCAGTGCCTCATCTTTCTCCTGCAGGGCGGCCACTGGGCTCGAAACATCGACCTTCTTAGCAGTCATGATTTGACTACAGCACCATCAGGGCTCCCACAATCCTTAAGGTGCCTTCCATAATTTGCATACGCAAGTAATATACAAATGAAACACATCCAGCTAATCCACCTAGTAACATCCTCTTTCAGCTCCAATCAGGATCAGCCTGCTTCCCAGACCTCTGTGGAAACTCAGAGCTGCTTCCAGAGGCATTCCAGGGTCTCACCCCAGCACCCCCTTTTTCAGAGCAGTTTAGACTCTGAGGGGCAGGCAGTCTTTTTCTCCTTTATCAAAACAGACCACATTCTCACCTACAGTGTTTTTACAACTTAGAGATCCCCTGACTCCACGTCATTCCCTCCTCAGACTAGGAGCCAAGAGAGCTGGATACTGTCACCCCCATTATAGAGAAGAATAAACCGAAGCTCAGAGCAAAAAGAGCTATGCTAGGAAATGACAGAACAAGGACTCAAGACCAGAAACCAGCATTCGGGAGCTTATCTGTCTGCTTTGGAAGTTTTGCTCCATCCCTTTGAAGCTGTGTGACCTTGAGCAAGTCACTTCACCTCTCTGAAATTGTTTCCCTAGCCACCACGTGGCAGTGACAGACGTACCTATCTTCTAAGGTGGTTGTGAAAATGAAAGGAACTGAGAACAGATGTGGTGCCAAGAAGGGTGGCTGGCACCAAGAGGAAGAGTTTGCTGTTGTTATTCTTATCAACATCGCCATCATCATTTAATTATTTCCAAGGCACCAAGTAGGTAAGAGGATTCCAGGATGCAGAAGGGCTGAGTCAGAGGCACTGGCCTCGTCCCAGGGGAAGCAGGCCTCTGGAGCCCCAGGCTTCAGGGAGGACTCGGGGGACTAACGAATGGTGCTCCTCTAGCCGCAGCCCTGTGCCTGAGCCAGGCAGCTGGTGGTCACAGGCGTGGCAGCACAGAAAACACCCTCATTCGCAGGGATAGCACGTTCTGGAAGGGCAGTCTGAAGAATTACTCTACAAACGCACCCCCTTCTGTCCTGCTAGATAGGATCACTTGGTCCAGCCTTCCCTGAGGTCAATTTGGCAACAAAGATCAAGACTTATAAACTCTAGGCACCAGATCTTACCCGTGAAGAATCACTGACCTGGTGAGAAGATTGATAGTGAGCTATAAGAATGTTGAAGGCAGTGAGGTTTTTTCCTAGTGCTGGGAGGCAACTCAGTACCCCAAAATATTTGGGGACTGTCTAGGTGAACCGTTACATATTTGTTCACTGGGCTGTGCTGCCGTTATGTAGTATGTAGAGCTTTGTGAACTATGTTCTGTCAACTGACCTTCACGTCCCCCAAGTGCCAAGGCTTCCTGTGGCTCAAAGTCCAGTCACACAACATAGGCCTCTAGGGTGGCCAGTAACACAAGGAAGCACTCCTTCTTTGAACAGCCAACCATATAAGGTCAAAACAGCAGCATTTGCCGGAGGAGGAAGCCCAGAAGGCAGGAGAGGACAGGATGGGAGGATTGGTGGGAATGAGAATCACAGGGAGGAAGTGGGAAGTACGCAGTCACATTGTGGTGTGGTTTCATGAATGTCATTAAACAAATTATGAGTGAATGAATGGTGGAATGGAAAACCAGTTTGCTTTTTAAACTTTCACTTTAATTCACAATTTTTAAAGAGTTTAAGGTGGGAAATTAATCATAGTGCCATAGCTATTTCAAAATGTAATGTGCAGTGTGATACCATTTTAAGAGATATGGAATATACATCTACATATAAGTATATACGTAAGTCCAGATTATGAACACCTGACTTAAAGAGCATTTGTACTTGCCTTCCATTGTTGTTGTTATGGATCACTGAGCTGGAACTGACTCATAGCTGACCCCTCCAGTAGGTTTTCAGAGGCAGTTAATCACATGCAAGGAGAATGTTCATTCTTCTCCCGTGGAGCAGCTGGTGGATTTGAACTGTGTGCCTTTGGGACTGCATCAGATTCTTACCACTTGTTCTTCAGTGTTTTCTAAACCTGCTGTCATTTAGAAATAACTGAATCAACCCCTACTTGCCTTATTCTTTATCACAGTTACTTTCCCTTGCTGCATATACAGCTCTTAAACCAATGAAAAGGCTTTGAGGATAAGAAGACTAATGGAAATGAGAATCACAGGGAGGAAGTGGGGAAATGCAATTATACAATTAATGCCGTGAAACAAAAGTTGCTTGAATGGTTCATTGGGGGGGGTGTGAATCTGCTTTGTAAACTTTCAGTCAAATCACACACAAAAAGAACCATATGCACCTGTTCCTCTGGACGTACAAATTCACCTTAAAGACACAGGAATAAATAGGTGTTACTAAGAAACATAGGGGAAAAAAGATGGAAGGTTATTACTGTAGGATGGTTTCTTAAGGGTGAGGAAATTATGACTTGAATTTTTATTCCTTTGTTTTCTACATTTTCTAATGTAGAAAAAAGTGCTCTACATAATTTAGAAACTTTTTTTATAAATTTTTATAAAATACAAACATGCATCATTTTGTAATTGGGGAGAAGGTTTTAACAATGGAATACTTAAAAATAAAAAAGTTCTTCATAATGCAATCACCTATAAATGGCTAGTTTTTAAAAAAATCAGGCCTGGGTGAGGAAGATGGGGAAAAAAAAAAATCAAGCCTACAGAAAAACTGGACTTTGGAAAATCCCCACAGTCCAGAGGCTGTTTACAATCTAGATTTTGACTCTCTAAGGGAGACCTCCCTCCAGTAAAGGATAGGCTAGTGCCCTGGAATGTGGCCCGGCAAGTGAAGAGTGAAAAGTGATAGTCAAACAGCCCTGGATTACCCTGAGCCAGTTTGTTTAAGGAGAAATGTGAGACTCTGTCCACGAAAGGAAAAAAAAGAATAAGGGAAGGGGTGACGGGATTAGAAATTGCATAAATTGCAAGATAAAAGCAAACTGGGCCCGTTCCTTCTTATTAAGTCCACATTTTCTTACCTATGTGGGGAATAAATCTAGGGAATGTAGAATTTTATCTCTTCAGTTTTTAAGCAGTCCTTCCCTAAGGAGGAGGGAGTCTAAGAAGTTAAGTAGCCTAGTAAGTTAGATGTTGAGCCCAAAGGACAGTGGTTCAAATCCACAAGCAGCTCCATAGGAGAAAGATGGGAAGTCTCTTCTCATCCTCCCATTAAGATTTACAGCCTTGGAAACCTGACGGGCAGGGGTCATGAGTCAGAAATGACCTGTGGCAGTGGGATATCTGGTTTCCTAATGAACACTCCTGGCACCAGCAGTCAGGAAATAAAAAGATGAGTAGCACTGGGAAAGTCTACTATCAGGGTCCTCTTCACAGTGCGAAAAAAGAGTAATGATGTCAGTCTAGAGACTAAGGTGCACCTGATCTAGGCCATGGTCTTTGCAATTGCTTGCTATGCATCAGAGAACTGGACAATGACTAAAGAAAAAAGCAGAAGAATCGATGAGTTGAGTTGCGGTGCTGAAGACAAGTGTTGGACATACCGTGCACTGCCAAGAGAATAAACAGGTCTGTCCTCGAGAAGGTACACAGGCTGCTCCTTGGATGCCAGGATTTTGAAGCTTCGTCTGACATACTTTGGGCACATTTCCAGGAGGGCCCGGTCCTTGGAGAAGGACATCACGCTTGGAAGGGTGGAAGGTTAGCACAGGAGAGGAGGACCCCGGATGAGATGGATTGACACAGTAACTGGGGTAATGGGGTAGGAGTGTCAAAGACAGTGAGTTAGGCTCAAGATAGAGGAAAGTTCAGAGCTGTTGTACATCAGGTCACTATGAGTCATAGTCAACTTGGCAGCACGTAACAAAGAAGGGGAAATCCCTAGATAATGCAAATTAATACACCTGGCCTGGCAACTAGCAAAAGGCTGGAAATTTCAGTCAACTCAGAGGTGCCTTGGAAGAAAGGCCTGGTAACCTGCTCCCAAAAAAAAAAATCAGCCAGTGAAAACCCAAAAGAGTGCCTTCTCCAGTTCCACACATGGGTCACCACCAGTCAGAACTGGCTCAGCAGCCCAGTGACTGTAGATCTAGCAAGCGGAGCAGCAGGCCACCTTGCTGCTTCCCTAACAGCCAGCCTGGGTGTGAGCCTCGGGTTCCACCACCAGGGGCTATGGAGGCAGATTTGAGACTTGGAAGACAGGCACTGGTGTGTGGCCTGAACTCCTGATATTTCCGATAAGTAATGGCTTTCATGGAGCCAAGGCTATGCATGCAGCTGCTAAGTGAAAGGTTGGCAGTTCGAGTTCATCCAGCTGCTCTGTGAGAGAAAGATCTGTCAACCTGTAAGGATGCCGGCCTAGGTATTCCTGTAAAGGTTTTACTCCTGTAAAGATGCCCGCCTAGAAAGGCCTATGGGCCAGCTTTTCTCTGTTCCTTGTGGGGGATGCTTTAAAAATCAACTGGACAGCAATGAAGAACTGCTTCAAAACACCCAGGTCCAGGCCTCTTTCCCATCCATCATCTTAATCTGTCCTGATGACCAGCCTGGGAGGGGGGGCTTTCTGGTGGGTGCAGCCCAATCAGTGCTGACCCACAGGGACCTCGTGGACAGCAGAGCAAACCCCTGGCCCAGGCTGCACCAGCCTCGCCGTCTCTGCTGTGCCCGTGGCTGCAGTCACCAGATCCGTCCATCTCCGGGACAGTCTCTCTCTCCGTCACTGACCCTGTACTTCACCTTCTCTAGGGACCTGCCCTGCTTTGTAATATGGGTTTAAATGGGTCCATGTAACAGATGAGGGGCTCGAGGTATAGACTTGACTCTATCCACACACACAGCGAGGCAGGGGCCTGAATCAGAGCCCAGGTCCCAAATCGGATCCCGGGGACACAGATGCTGACGGGTGGCTTGTTTCTCTCTCTTCCAGGCAAACACGAAGAGAAGCAGCAAGAAGGCGGCATCGTCTCCAAGAACTTCACAAAGAAAATCCAGTAAGTAACCTTTGGGTCCATGGGGGAGCTGGCAGGGGGCGCAGTGGGTGAGTACAGGACCAGGAAGCGCAGCTTGGCAGTGGGGACTCATTCAGAGTCTCCTGGGAGAAAGGCCTGTGGTTCGCTTCCCAAAGGCCACAGCCCCAAAACCCACTGAGCAGTTCTCCTCCGCACACACCATGGTGCTTTGGGTCGAGGGGTCAGCTTGATGGGTTCCTTTATTTGAAATACCATTTCGGTGATGGTTCTTACAGGCAGTTTAGATTCCTGTTCAGCATATTATTCGGTGACACTGGTTATGTTTTTTACAATTTGTACACATCATTATTTCTGTTGATTTTAAAAGCCAAGCATTGATCTCAGGGTGGAAGTAGAGGATATGGGGTGCCGGGGACCCTAGAATCTCGGGGTCTCTCCCTTCTGGGTATGTCTCCCTTGAGACACCAGTGTTGTTATTGTTCTGTGCCATCAAATCAGAACCGATTCATAGCTGATCCTCCAGAGGCTATAAATCACATGGAAGCTTTGTCCCATGGAGCAGCTGGTGGATTTGAACAGTGTACCTTTATACTGGCAGCACAACTCCTTTCCACTAAGCCATCAGAGTTCTCCTGAGAGACCACTGTTGTTGTTGCGTTCCGCTGAGTCAGAATCAACTCACAGCTGACCCTCCAGGGGGTTTTCGGAGGTGGTAAATCACCCAGGGGCAGAATGCCCATCTTTCGTCCACGGAGCAGCTGGTAGACTTGAACCATGTGTCTTTGGGATTGCAGCACACCATGAGGAGCTGAGAATTGACTCTGACTTCTAAACGGGAGGGAAGCATCACCTTGGCCTGCCACAGGGCCCCAGAAGGCCGTGGGGTGGGGGTGCAGACGGCTGTGGCCTCTTGTCAGCTCACTGACCTGGGAGGCAGGCATTATGATGTCACAGCAGAGGTGAAGAATCTGAGAGTAAGAGGCTAGTGACCTGCCCTGGGCCAAGCTGGGGGCGGCTCTTTCTCTCTTGGAATCACTCTGGAAAGCCTGCTTCCATTTCCTCCTGTGTGGAGGCCGCAGAGAATGAGAATGCCTTCACGTTGACGTCTGATCACAGCTCAAGGGGCTTTCGAGGCTGAGAGGTTGGGACAAAGGAAGGGCAAGTTTGCTGAGGGGGGTGTGAGTGGAAGGAACGTGGTGGGCGAGTGGCCTGCCTGCGGGGGGACTCATGGACGTGGCAGTAGCTGATAAGCCAGAGTCACCTGGAGCCCCGACCTGGTGGCACCTGCAGGGAGAAGTGGCTGCTCGTCTGGGACAGCTGCGAGGTGCTTCACGGATAAGAAAAGTGGCCTGAGGAGTCCACTGACTCAAGTCGGAAGAGAACCAGGCTTCCTGGAGTTCTGGTGGCTGACTTCTCCAACTCAAGCCTCTCATCTTTCAGTTCCCAGCTGAACACACTGACCGCTGTGCGTCCCATCCCAGGGACCCCACAGCCTCGCCTTTCCGCTCACCAGCATGCTCGGCCACGTGCATTTCGGTCCCAAAGTCTCCCTCTACCTCGTGGCGCCTCCCCAGGTGCAGGTGTGCAGTGGGGAGGTGAGACACTGAGTCTCCCAGAGGAGGAGAAGGGGGACCTACCACAGTGCTCACCTCTGGGACCAGGACAGGTCCCAACAGGCCTCCTAACCTTCCTGCTCCACGTACACCCTGGTGCTCGCCACACCCTTTCCTCCTCTGGACTATGGATGGTGGGACCAGCCTTGCCCCAAGGCTCAAACAAACCAACCTAAACCCTCAAGGATTCCACGGGGGCAGAGTAAACCCACTCCCCAGGATTTGTGGGGCTGTCACCGTTCAGAATCAGATCTCCACATATTTCTTCTAAGGTAACTCTGGATGGCTTAGAACCACTAACCCTTTAGAGATCAGATGAGTTATACCATCCAAGAACCTTACAGCAATGTCAAAACTGACTCTTGGCTGACCACCCACTGGGTTTCAGAGGCTAGAAATGACTCACAGCCGACCCTCCAGTGAGTTTTCAGAGGCTGTAAATCACATGGGAGGAGACTGCCCATCTTTCTCCCATGGAGCAGCTGGTGGATCTGAACAGGGTGAGGGCCTATGAATTACGCCACCAGAGCTTCTGTTTTACAGAGTCCACCACTGAAAATTAATGTGACAACAGCTCAGTGATTCTTTTTAAGTGGCAGTGTTGTTGCTGTCATAGTTATTATTGCTATTATTAAGTCTTTACTACTGACCCTAGAAGAGATGCCGAGACTAGGCCGATTGCACTCAACTTCCTTGAGTCTGTGGTTCTGCAGCCCTATCTCCCCTCCTTTCCTGAGCCTCCTGGGGCCTCTGGAGTTCCTGGAAGCCCGTGGACACTTCCTGATAAAGCAAACATCAAACCCATTTCCTCCGGCCTGTCTGCCAAGCCAGGACCCCACCTCTCTCTAATACACAACCAGCTTTAACAGGAAAGGGAGGCCACTTCACAGAAGGTATCAGGACAGAGTCAAGTCGGAGTCAGGGCCCCACACAGATCTGTGGAAGGGACCAAGCCAGAAAGAAGGAGACACTTGTCTTAAAGAGATAGTACGTTGGGTATTTCATGAGCTCTGAGACAGCAGGGCAAACAACAGGCTGGGAGCTGTTGGAACAGACAGAGTACGGCTGTATGCAGCCAGGCCTTAGCAACTGAGCTGCTACTTGCTAAAACAGGGAGACTAGGGAGTTCTAGCAGCCTAGTGGGTAGGGAGGTGCCACCAGCTGTATGAATTGGTAGGAGTCTATTGGCTGCTCTGAGGGAGAAGGATGGTCAATCTCCTCCCATGCAGTTTATATCTTCTGAAAACGTGCTGGAGAATCAGCTATGAGTCAGTTCCCACTCGACAGCACAGGACAACGACAGCCATTGACTAGGATGGTCTGGGTGGCACAGACTGGAACACAAACTAAAAAGGTGTGAGGGCCACACTGCCCAGATGTGTCTCAGAGGTAAGGCCTGGTGATCTACATACAAGAGGCTAGAGCCCTGAAAACCCAAGGGAGCAGTGCTGCTCTGTATTCAGGAGGGGGTCAGAGGCAGTCCTGACAGTACAGCAAGTGACAATAAGCTATTCACTGCCCTCAGTCACCCAAGTGACCACCCTAGCCAATCTGCCAGTCAGCCATCCTGGCCCTGGCCCCAGAACCCTCCAATCTTGACCATATTCCAGCAACTAAACGTTAGATCTGATCCAGCAGGGAATTCCCGGGACCCTCCTCCAGCCACAAAGCACATCCATCACTTCTGATTCCCTGCTCAGCAGAGCCAGTGGTTACATATTTCTCCTCTGACTTGAGTATAGGGAGTTTGGATTACACAATAACATAAGTGGGTAACATTGTGTAACTCGCACTGCCCTGAAGAGAGCTGCTCCCTTGTGGATGGGGTTGTGGGGCAGTGCGGGGATGTGTATAAAGCCATGAGCCTGTGGAGAGAGTCGGCTCTCAGTGTGGGAACTGAGGCTCACACAGAAGTGCACACAGCATGGGACGAGGGGAAGCTATGCCTGGGACAAATCTTCCAGAAAAAGTCCTGTCATCAGAGGACAAGGAAGCCCTTTCAAGCCAAGCTGGGAACCTCACACATTTCCACCCAGGCAGGAAACTGGGGTGGCCTCAGATGTTCATCCAACACACCCATCCCTCTATTAACCAGATTGTTTTGATTTGGGAGAGGATGTGGTCTTAGAATCTACCTATCAGGATAGGGGCAGGGCAAGAAGGATGCAGAAGGGTTTGGAGGAGAGGAAAAAGCAGCTGGGGTGGGGAGTGGATGAGGAGACCTTTGACTGAGCATATGCCTAGCCCGACTTTCATTTCCCTGCCACCTACTGCCCAGATAGCCGTCCTGCCATGTACTGTCACCTACAGGGTGCCAAAGCCATGCCGAGCTTAACCTGCTTGATTTTATTTAATCCTTACAACAATCCTGTAGAGTAGAAAAGACTAAACCTGTTTTATGGCTGAGGAAACTGAGGCTCACAGGTGTAGCAAAACTCAAGCCAGTTTACACAGCTAAGCTGATCTGGGGTTTGAACAAGTCTCTCTACCTTCAAAATCCATGAGCTTCCTGTTTGGTTCATATGGAAACTAAGCCAAAAGGCTGTGAGTCAATTCAGACTCATAGTGACCCTTCATCTGGCTGTACAGATGGCCCCCTCCTCTGCACTTGTGGTGGCTGGTAGGTTTGAACCGCTGACTTTGCCATTAGCTGTTCAACATGCATTCACACATCATCTTTATCATTTTTGTCTATGTGCTTACTTAGAAGACTCCTCCAACTCACTGCCATCGACTGGAACTTTCAGAGGCTAAAAACTGCATGGGAGGAGACCACTCATTTTCCTCTTGCAGCACAGCTGGTAAATGCGAACTACCCACCTTTGAGTCAAGAGCGCAACTCTTTATCCACTAGGCCACCAGAGCTCCTACAGTCTCACCCATTACTTGGATAAAGCTGGTGGTGACCTTGAAGATACATTCAATGAAAGCAAAACCTGCTTAAATCATTGCAAGACAATGCTGCCTGCCTGGAGGTTTAAGCCTGATTAGGCCAGCTCTTCCTTTGTTAGAAAAAACATGCAGGGAGCTCTGGCAGTGTAGTTTATAGGCAGCCAACCCAAAGGCCATGCCTCTCAGGCAGTTTGAATCCACATTGGATGGATGCGGAATCCCCTCCCATGTGCCCCGAAAACACCATGGAGGGTCAGCTATGAGTAGATAGTGACTGGATGCATATTGATTAGATATTGATTGTCAACCTGAAGGTGGTTCAAATCCACAACCTGCTGCATGGGGAAAAGATGGGCAGTCACCTCTGAAAATCCACTAGAGAATCGACTCGATGACACCTAACAAGAACAGAGCCTGAAAACATTCAAGTCAACCCTCACTCATTCTTTAAGAAGTTAAGAGTAGAGTGTAAAATGATACAACCACTACAGAAGGCAGTTTGGCACTTTCTCAAAAAGTTGAAAATAGAAATACCATTTGACCCAGCAATTCCACGACTAGGAATATATCCTAAAGAAACCAGAGCTGCTACTCAAACAGATATATGCACACCCATGCTTACTGCTGTGTTATTCATAATAGCAATGAGACGGAAGCAACCCAAGTGCTCATCAACAAATGAATGGACAGAAAAGCTCTGGTATATCCACACAATGGAATACTATGCAGCACTGAACACTGAAAGATGAAAGAAAGAACTCTTTAAAAGGAATCTATAATAAGGCATCACTTGTATGACAGCAGTCCAGAATAAGAGGTCTATAGCAAAGTGGAATGGGGAGGGATGGGGAGGAGGGGAGAAATAAATTATGCAACAATAAATATTTTTAAGTGAAATAATGAAGGGTAGGGAGGAAAATGTGCAACAGTGAATGAAAATCCAACTTTTCTGTAAACTTTCGTTTGAAACACACATATACCTCAAATAAACAAAGCAACTGGGTGAGGGAAAGAAGTTAAAAGTAGCAAGTTCTGGAGATTAAACAAATTTAACCAGTGGCCATCAAGTCAACCCCACTGCACCCGAGCAGAATTATGTCCACAGGGCTTTTAATGATTGAGGTGTTAGAAGCAGGTCACCAGGTCTTTCTTCCAAGTCACCTCTAAGTAGATTCAAACCCCCAACTTTCTGTCAGTAGCAAGAGTGTTGTGAGTGCGTATCACGTAGGGACTCCCCAAAGGGATGTCCCAGAAATGATGACGCTCTTCTGACATCAGCCCTCAGTGATGAGTGCTGATATAGAAACAGCAGCTGAGGACCTGGATACCTGGGTCTTATCTCTCCATTAAGTCAGCTACTACTATTCAAATAGCATCTCACCATTTGCAAAGTGTTTTCCAGACTCTTTACACCTTTAATGGACAAGGAAACCAGTGAGAGACCTCCCCAAAACACACAGTAAAAGGGGTAGAGCTAGGATTCAAGCCCAATGTTGCATGCAAATAGCGTGTATAAAACTGTTTTCCCTCATTTAAAAAAAAAAACCAACATAATAAAATCTTGTGCTTCTCCTAGGCTTCCCGCAGAAGTGGATCCCGTGACCGTCTTTGCCTCGCTTTCCCCAGAAGGTCTGCTGATTATCGAAGCTCCCCAAGTTCCCCCATACTCCCCATCTGGAGAGAGCAGTTTCAACAATGAGCTTCCTCAAGACAGCCAGGAAGTGCCCTGTACCTGAGACCCCAGCCTTGGCCCAGCCCTGTGCCCTCCCTGGCTCCAGGGCTTCTCTTATTCCAGGGTGCATCACCTTAGCTGAACTGATAGATTTAGCGTGATTAACATGTTGGGGTGGGGTGGATGGGACCTGACCAGAGTCCCCGGCTAGTATAGTGATAGGTTTCTCCATAAGGTGACGCAACTGGCAAGTCATGTGCAGTTGTGTTAGGCCAACATGCTGGGAGGTGTTTTGGGGGTTGTTTTTTTTCCGCCTTGACCTTTTTTATTGTGATGAAAACGTTGCACATTCTATATAGCTGCAGGCAAATATAAAGGGGACATCACATTTCACACTGTATCTTACCTTCTGGCTTTAAAATGAGGGTTGCTTTTCTCTGGGGACCAGCCTGTCACCCAGATTCCTGTTCTGGATTCCCAATCTCCATGCCTGCTCCATGATTTGCTTGGTTGGTGGAACCCATTGGTTCATCCCGTTGTGTTCCTGGAGCCCCAGCCTCCAAATGCTTATACACAGCTTAGATCCCCAGATGGAATTCATCCACTCAACACATGCAAACAAATAGTGCCTTGTGTCCTCCGCTCAGGCATTTATCACGTGTTCCCAAACTGGTACTCCCCACGATTCTGGAAGCCCCTCAGTTTATCCTCTGGCTAAAGCTCTCCTTTCTTAGGCTAAAGCTCCCCTTTCTTAGGCCCCCTGTGTCTAAGTAGGGATTTTTACAGAGGGGACTAACAGCCCCAGCAGGAACCAAGCAAAGGCCATACATACAGCCTGGCAGGCAGGCTACTGACATTGTGTATATGGGGGGATGTGTGTGTGTCATTGTTATTTGAGTTGTACCATTGTTTAGGGGAAACACAGTTATAATAATAATAATAAAGGAGTTGATGTTCTTAGCTCTGTGCTTCTTGTGATGAGAAACTCAATCCTCTACCGTTTAACTCCCTGCTGGGGCCGATGCATAGCTGACTCTCCATGGATTTCAGGGCCTGTAAATCACTTGTTATGCATCTGGGAGCTGGACCATGAATAAAGATGACAGGAGATAAGCCGATGCCTTTGAATTTTGGTGCTGGAGATGAGTACTGAGTACACACGGCCTGCCAAAGGAACAAACTTGTGTCTTGGAGAAGGTGCGGCTGGAGTGTTCTTAGAGGGCAGAATGGCGAAGCCTCATCATGTACTCTGTGCATATTGCTGCTGCTGCTGTGGATTGCCTTTGAGTCAAGCACAACTCACAAGTCCTGTGGAGACACAGCAGTACTGGGACCAAGACACTTGTGTATGGGAGGAAGCGATGAGTTGCTGCTGGACACCACCAAACCCTCGAAGGGCAGCAAAAGTCAGTGACCATTTCCTCACCTGCACGGTGTCTTTTGCTGGGAGCCAGGATCCAGGGAGCAAAGAGTCACAATGTCTGCCCACAAGGAGCTCCCAGTCCAGTCCCAGAGGCAGGCACAGAGCTGGCCCTCGCAGAACCTGACCGTGCACCAGGTCCTGGGCTAAGTGCTACGTGCGTGCATTTGTTCACATCACCCCACTACAATCCCATGTTGCTGGACGCCATCGAGTTGACTCTCAACACAATGCCTGTGCAACAGAACATAATTCAGCCCAACACTGCGTGGGGCTCCCTCACCCTGAGCCAATCCATTTTACGGAGGGTCTTCCTCCTTTATGCTGACCCTCAATTTGTCCAAGTATGGGGTCTCTCTCCAGGGCATGGCCCCTCCGGTAGCATGTCCAAAATACAAGAGATCAAGTCTCAACTGTCTTCACGCTGATTGTGCTTTATCCCAAGACAGATGTGTTTGTCCTTCTGTCGTTCACGGGCTAGTCAGTGTTCTTCTCCAACCATTCAACCGCAATTCAAAGGCTTGTGTTCTTTTTCCATTGTCCTCATTCCTTGATCAAATTTCACACACACATGGGGTGACCAAAAATATGACAGCCTGGATCCAGTACACTTTGGTTTCCAAAGTGACAACCTCATTCTTGAATCCGTTCAAAAGGTCCTTTGCAGTAAATGTGTCCCTTGTAAAACTTTTGTTGTATACAACCCTACAGGGTAGATCCAATTGTTCTCTCTGATGGAGAACTGAGGCACACTACCCCAACTTCTTCTTCTTGTTAATTGTCTTCAGGTCGAGCACGACTCACAGCGACCCTGTGAACAAAAGGCCTGAAGCCCCTCTACAACTATTGACATTTATCAAAGTTCACAGAGATTTCAGAGGCACGCTGTTTAGGAAGTGGGTGCCACTTCTTCCCAAAAAACTAGTAAGTGGCAATGCTAGGCAGGCTGCTTCCAGAACCTTCACTCTTAACTCTATTTCATTCTATTTATGTCCCTATAGAGCAAAATATGAGGCTTAAGTGAGTTTGTCCAGATTGTGGGAAGAGGTAAATTGGGGCTCCAGGGGTGAGAGAACGGGCTCAGGGATGGATTCATCCACCAGAGAGGAGTCCCTCCTACCAGGGCTTGATGACCGAGTGCAGCAGTAGGACCTGACCAAGCAGGGGGGTAGGGAGGTACCTCCCAGATAGCAAACACATGATCCAAGGCAAAAGGTATGTCCCCACTGAAATCCTTTGAAGATTCCCTTGAGCTTACAAGCACTTCCATGGCACTTACATGCTCTGCAGCATCTGTGCCCAATTTATCTACCCTTCTCCACCCCAGCCTCAGCCCCACCTTCTGCCCTCCAGCTCATTTCTCTCTGTTCTTCCAGCAGACAGGCCCATTCTTGCTCCTGGAACTCTACACACTCCAACTGCCTTTGCCAAGGTGTATTCCCCACCCCCATCCTCTTCCAGGCTAATCCTTTAGGATCTCTGCTCCGATTTCCAGGAGGCTGGCCAGAAACCCCCCTGCAGAGCCTCAGCCCACCCAGTACATTGCCTTATAACAGTCCGAGTATCTGTGTAATAGAGTGTAGTTGTTGTTAGGTGCTGTCAAGTCGAGTACAGCTCATAGTGACCCTACGAACAGCCGGCCTGAACCCTGCCCCATCCTGTGCCATCCTCATCTCTGATACCCTAGAGCCCACTGCTGAAGTCACTGTGTCTGTTCATCTCGTTGGTGTTAGGTGCCATCAAGCCAACTGTAAGTCACAGTGATCTGATTAACAACAGATCTGAACCTTGTCCTGTCCTGTCCTCACCATCTCTGATGCTCAAGCCATTGTCACTGTGGCAATTCATCTTGCGAGGGGTCTTTCCTTCTCGGAACTTCTGCTTTCTCCAGTATGATGCCCTTTCCCAAGGAGAGTCCATAAAGACAGAAGAAGATCCTCTAAACCAGAGGGATGACACAGTATCTATAGCAAAAGGACCAGGCAGGGTTTTGGGCTGAAGTAACACGGGGTCACTAGAAAGAGTGACCAGCTTCAAAGCACCAACAACAGAGTAAAGAAGCTGCTGTGGACCAGCCAGTGGGTCAGGGGTCGGGTGCTGTTCCTGGGGGAAGGATGAGGAGGAATGGAAGGCTGTTACTATAAAGGTGGCCAGTTCTGGGCTGCTCAATGACACACTACGAGTGGAGAGTGTGGAGACAGGACACTACCAAGGGCGTGAAGGCCCACATAACTCTGCCCCCCAGAGCGAGTGGTGTCTCTATGTTGAGAAACCCCTCAAGCTCATTGCCATCAAGTTAGAGCTGACTCATAGCTGGCTCTCCAGTGGGTTTTCAGACTGTAGATCACACGGGAGGAGATTACGCATCTTTTTTCCAGAAGAGCAGCTCGTGGGTTAGAACCACTCACCTTTGGATTTGTAGGACAACTCCTTACCCATTAGATTATCAGCTACATGGCAGCTAGGGTAGTATGGTGGAGGGTCAGACAGGAGTAAGAAATGCCAGGTGGTGGGTGGGCCAGAAATCTAAGCTCTGGTGGCCTAGTGGCAAGAAGCTGTGCTGAAATCCTGAAGGTGTCTGGTTCGAGGCCATCAACTGCTCCGTGAGAGGATGGGCAATCTCCTCCTGTGCAATTAACTGTCTCTGAACACCTGCTGGAGGGTCAGCTACAGATAGGTTCTAACTCAACATTACACAACAACAACAACAGATTAAGTTGCCCATTCTTTGCATTGTGCTATCAAAACCATACACCATTCCTAACCTTTAGGGAAGTAGGACACACGAACAGTGGCTTGGTATGAAATGGTCTTTGGCAGATGATCAATCTCTGAACAATCTTGGGGTAGAAATTGAAAGAAACCAGAACAAAGTGAATAAAGAGGAGAACTCTTTGAGGGCAGACAGCTGAAGCTAGAAATGACTATGAGAACACAGTCCCTAGAATATCGAGATGCCTCAAAGAGGGCAGGAGCCGGTTTCGTGTAACTCTCATGACATGGCATCCCCTTGTACCCAGGCTCATGAAAGCAGAGACCACAGCCTGCTAGTTCTCCACTGTTCCCCCAACTCCTGACACAGTTCTTGGGGCATGAGAGGCATTGAGTCCTGTGGACTGCTCAGCTGAGTGATGGGACCTTCAAGATCCAGACTCCTTTCAACAGCTTCCAAAGCCCTGCCTGTTCTGGCCTCGGCCCCCTTCCAACTTCATCTCTCACAGCTTCCCCTCGCGTCTGCCCTGCCCAGGCCTCCTCTCTGTCCCTGACACGCCACGCCTGCCCTCACCACTGGGCCTTCACACTTATGATCCTCTAGTCAGAGGTAACTCTTGGCTGCTGTCAATCGGAACACTGTGACACTGATGTGTCAAATGTGATAATGGTTACCCATGATGGACAGTGTTTGGTGCAGTTCCCCAACTAAAACAAGCTTGGAAGCAGGAGTGGCATCCACTTCCAAAGTAGCTTGCCTCCAGAAACGCCATAAACAAGGAGAAGCAATGTAAGTTATACAAGTGTTCAAGTCTTTCTTTCATAGGGTCACTATGGGTTTTGTATGACTCGACGGCAGCTAAAAACAACCACCACCAACAACACTCTGCTCCCAGCTTGTGGTGTGGCTGTCTGCTTTGTATCCTCCTTCCCCCTTCCACATTCCAACTCCACAGAGAGGCCTCAAAATCCACATCATTCCACCTCCTCCCTAGTTAAGAAATACATCAACACTTTTATTTACTAGAAGACACTTCCCAGAAATGAATGT